GGGGGGGGGGGACTAACAGACTAGTGTGGACAGGTGGAGGATTCTCACTACAGAGGTGCCATGATGTACCTGCCTTTTTCTCTCTCCGTGTACTTCTGTCTGACTATCTAATATTTTTGTTTATTTAATCAGCGCAGTGCACCAAAGTCTCATCTGTAGTCGAGGTGAAATGATGAGTCAATTAAAATTAAAAATTAAATAAAATTAAAATTAGTTGACTGACAGAAAATGAATCTACAACAATTTAGCTTTTTTGCAGTTATTTTTGTTTTATAACATTGTTAACTGAACACCTTTCGGCTTGGGATTGTTGGTCCGACAAACTAAGCAATTTTAATACGTCCCCTTGCCTCTTGAAACTTATTGCAGTATTTTCTAACTCTTTAAAGACTAAACGATGAATTAATTAATGCAAAAAACAGAACTATTTGCAGCCTGTTCTGTTTTCCATGCAGATGTTATATAGTCACTATATATATATATATATATATATAAACATGCATATGCAATACAAAACAAAGGAGAACATTTAGATGTGCAATTGAACTTGACTGTTCATAGACAAAGTCAATGTAAGTATACAAGGAGAGGAAAGGGGGAGTTATTAATTAAGCAATAGTGCCCCGTGCAGAACCAATCACTACACTGCTTTCATTAACCTGAATGTGTCCACTAGATGGTTTAAGACTGGAAAAACCTTTATCTGTCAGTACAGCCAGAGTTTGGATCCACGTAAACGATCTGCTCTTTCGCTTCATCAGTTTCCTTCATTTCCGACTTTGTTTACTTTATTAAGGTTTTTCCTTTTGACGCTTTATTTGTGTTCATAAATGGGCACTTCTGCATTTTGGTAGTAGTAGCGATGACGTGGGTGGATTTATGCACAGTACAAATGATGAAATATAATGAATATAATAATTATTACTAATTACTAATAATGTTTCATATTTTCCATTGCATGATAATAAGCTGCTCTAAACTCAATGCCGATCCTGGCGTGCTCACTTATTTCAGGTCCCGGCGGTGCTAAAGGCGACAGAGGGGAAAAAGGCTCAAAGGGGGACGTGGGCCCCGCAGGGCCAAAGGGAGAGTCTGGCTTCAGCTCTGGCTCTGGTGTCTCCTCTCAGGGTGGAGGACAGAAGGTAGAAGATCACTCTGTGTGTCTGTGTGTGGGACCTACTGTGTAATCAGCTGCGTAAAATACTTCATATTTGTCTTTTTTTTCTTTTATTTTAGGGAGAAAAAGGTGCAAAGGTATGTTACCTGTGTGTTCACACTGAGGAGAGTTTATTCTTATTTCTATTTGGTGAGAATAATGTCTGTTGGATAATAATATAGCTTGACAGATATGAAAATTATTAAATTATTCTAATTTATTTTCTGGAGTTTTAAGGTTTGGATAAAACAAGGATTGTGAAGGTGACACTTTGGGTAGTTGTGACTTCTTACAAGCCAAACAATCAGTCGATTAATAGTTTTAAATGAGCTCCACCTCAACCAGCTACAACAGTAACATTTTCCATTAATGCATGATTCATAATAATCTAATGATATCATATATAATAGTACAACAGTTACATCTTAGTCCCTTCCACCTGAGATGCAAGTGGAGTGCTTTAGCCTCTGATGTAAGTGGGAGAAAAATGTGGGAACTAAAGGTGAACTGTTTTTTAAATTATTATTTCTCACTAAAATAAGTGCTGGTTGGTGGATTACATATATGCTGAATTAAACACAGACTCATACCACATTACTACTATTATAATTATTATGAATTTAGCTGAATATCACTTCTTCCTCACCAGGGTAGTTCCGGCTTCGGATACCCCGGCAATAAAGGAGAGCGTGGGGCTCAAGGGCCTCCCGGACGCCCTGGTCCTCCTGGACCCGCAGCTGAGGTGGTCCGACTTGGGGACGGCTCTGTTGTGCAGCAGGTGTCCGGACCCCCCGGACCGCCAGGACCACCAGGGTCAGATGGGCCTGCAGGAACTCCAGGAACTGATGGAGAGCCTGTGAGTACAGAGAGACCTTGATTTTCCAAATATTATGTTCTTTTTTAGATTAAAGTCACTTATTGGTTGTTTATGATCTTTCAGGGTGATCCAGGAGAGGATGGGAAAGCTGTAAGCACAAATATTTATTACAGATTGAGATATTTTTATAAAAGCAGAATTAGTCAGTGGCTTTTCTTCATAATTAAAAACCGACCAGTGTAATTCTGTTTTTCTGCTCGTGTTCCCAGGGTCCCCCCGGGCCACGTGGTTTCCCAGGAAGTCCAGGATCTGCTGGTGTCAAAGGCGAAAAGGTTTTAGTACAGAGCAGAATATGTGGCTGGATCAATTATGTTGTTTCTTGAACTATTATTGTGTTATTTTACAAGCATTTATTTAGTGTGATAATGTGCGACCTCTGAATATTTCCAGGGTGAGCGTGGAGAGGGTGAACCAGGACCCAGAGGCCCCCCTGGTCTACCAGGACCTCCTGGACCTGGCACCGGTGACCGCCCAGTACGTCCACACTTCAAACACCCTCTTCCTTAAGTATTTATTGTTTCAAGACTTGTCCCAGTGTTTTATTAATTTATCTTTTGACAGACGTTTTTTGACATGGAGGGCTCAGGATTCCCAGACTTGGACAGAATCCAGGTATGTTGATAATTTTACTCTAAAACTCTAAAAGGGGTTAAACTCAAATCATTACTTATAAATCACAATGTACCCAGGGTGCCCGTGGTCCTCCTGGCCCCCCAGGCCCTCCTGGCCCTCCTGGGGTTTCAGTGGCTATGGGAGCCAACGGTCCAGTAGCTTTCGGACCTCCTGGACCACCTGGACAGGATGGAGTCCCTGGTCTACCGGTGAGTTTCTCTAATTTGTTTGAGTGTAACGTAGTGGGATACAGTTTCTGTTGTAGAATGTACAGCTGAAACAATTAGTCTTTTAATCAATTAATTGATTGTTATTATTTTATTTTTTTTTCATTTTCAACATACATACAATAAAACAAAAAATCCATTTCGAAACAACCGTCAAATTCGTATAGTGCAAAGTGTTTAAACGGTACAAAAACACCAACGTCAATTAATAAATAATAATTGCATAATAAGACATTCAAGCAGGTAACTTTTTTGATAATCAACCAATCAAAAACATCCCAAAATTGATGGTTCCAGCTTCTAAAATGTAAAGATTTGTTGCTTTTTCCTTGTCTTTAATTAAAATAAACAGAATATTTTTTAACTTTGGACTGTTTGTTTAAATATTTCATATTTCAAATATATCAGAAATGTTGTTATTATTATTACTATTATTCTGAGTGCAGGATCTTGATAAGCTATTAAACACTGATTGTTTGAGTGTATCCTGTGTGCTGTTTCAGGGCCCTCCCGGTCCTCCCGGTCGACCGGGTCAACCAGGACTCACAGGAGTGAAGGTGAAAATGCACATATTGACTGACAACCTGCTGAATATTTCTCACGGATCAGTACACATTTAGTTTTTTGTCAAATATTGATATTTAAAGTCTCCATGCCACACTCTGGATTGCATATTTCTCTAGATCCGCCCCTGCTGATTTCTCCTTTCCCAATCATAAATGTCCTTTCCTTTTTTTCTTAAATATCTTTTACCTCCAGGGTGACAATGGTGAGCTTGGTCTTCCGGGACCATCTGGAGAAAAGGTGAGTTAAATCTGAACTTTTATCCTTCAAAGTCAAATCTGTGACTTCAATAACATAAATGTTATGAATCAGTGTTTTCTCGTGAACTGAAATTAAATGTGTGGCGGGTGCATCCAGATAGATTCTCTCCTCCATGTTTGTTGCTTTCCTCTAGCAAGACTCGCAAGACTCCAACTTTTTCACGGGGCTGTTCTCTTACTTTGCTCCATCCTCTACGGTGTGTAATGGGTCGCAGGTATTTTGGTGGGGGGTCTCTGCTTTGGTGATTTTCTTCCACTTTCCCAAGTTTTCACCTGTTTCCATTTCTCCTTCTGAACATATCTTTTGAATAATTCCAGTTTTCCACTTCAAGCTACATATACTTCCTACAATGCTATGAAAAGGGATATTTTCCCTCAGTGGTTTAATTAAGCTTTTCCTTAGTTTCTGTCATATATATAATGTTACAATGTCGGTTGTTGATATTAAACAAGGTCAGATTGACAAATAATGACGTATGTAAAAATAATCCCTGTGAGCTAAAAGCTCAGAATTCAGACTGCTCTGAATGCAACGTCTCACTTACTTTTAAGTTAAGGCGACGAGCCAACGTCGACTGTATTTTAGTGCTTTTGTGGTGGTTGTGACATTTTAATTCAGTTCAATACAATTCAATTTTATTTGTATAGCGCTAATTCAAAACAGAAGTTATCTCAGGACACTTTTCAAATAGAGCAGGTCTAGTAACAGCAGGTCAGTAACAACAGTAAATGTAGCAATAATAATACTTAATAAATCTAACCGAACTCTTATAACATTTTACAGAGACCCAACAGTATTTTTGGGACAGGTGCAGTTCACATCCCGACGCTCCTCCTGGAGGCTTGATGATGGCTGTCAGCAGGCTTCTGCAAAGTTGGCCGGTCAGAAGAAAGAGTTCTTTGTTGCTTGTTTCAGACTGTGGATGAACTGAGGTGCTGCATTGAGGGCCAGTGTCAGATAAATAAGGATGGTTTTGAAGAGTGAATGATGCAAAGCTCCTCTAGTGAAATATAGAGCTAGAAATGATAATAGGTCCCCTAGTTGAGTAGCTTCCTTTCACTTTTCTCACTGTATCACTTCATTCTGCTTAACATTGAGCTCTGTCATGTCTCTTGCATGTCGTTATCACCCACTTTCCTTCACTTACTCTGCTGCTGTTGCATTAACAGGAGTGCCCTTGATCGGTAGCAAAGAGACATAAAACACCCTGATTATTTTTTTCCTTCACACCTAAGGGTGCTCAGGGTGATGCAGGAAGGTCAGGTACACCTGGGCAAACTGGGCTGGCAGGACTTCCAGGTCCCATGGGACCAGTTGGACCACCAGGACCCCCTGGGCCGCCAGGGCCGCCATACCGCGTTGGTTTTGTAAGTAGAAGTTAAACAGTTTGTGTGGACAGCTGAGAGCAGATAAATGTCTCCTGAAAATGCGGCTTTTGGCCATCGTCCAAGGTTGAAACAAAAAAACAAGGTGTGTCTCTGTGGTCTCTGTGTCTTTAACAGGGCAACCAGGATGGATTTGAGGAAAACAATGGCTTGCCTGGACTCAGAGGCCCACCTGGACCACAGGTACCCAATCACCTGTTTATGAGACCCCTGACGCTTTCTTTACAGTAGATCTTTTGCTTCATGTTTTCCTGTGTTCTGTCTTCCAGGGTCCTCCTGGTATCGCAGGTCTTCCTGTGAGTACTACAGAGTTTGTTTGGCTCTGTGTTGTTTGTATAGAGTTGTTTGTCTCACAGTTGTACCCACTCTTTATTGTCTCTCTATTATGATGTTCAGGGTAAGCCAGGTTTACCCGGCATCCATGGTGACAAAGGAGCAGAGGGATCAAGAGGACCTCCTGGGATACCAGGTCTCGACGGATTCCCCGGACAGTCGGTAGGAAGCCAGATGAATTCTGGGATTTGCTGCTCAGTTGTTTTTGTATAACATATGCAAATAATACCATAATTAAGACATAATTAGATTAGATTAGATTAGAATTAGTTGTAAAATTGCTGGTTTTCATGACATTTAATAACTGCTTGTGTTAATTTTTTAGGGTGAAAAGGGAGCCAGAGGAGACAAAGGAGACATGGTGAGTTATGTGCTTAGTATATTAAGCATATTATTATTATTGTATTATGCAGTATTCCAATATATTTAATTGTTTTAAGCTGTAATGAAAGTTATATTTTAGTGGCAGGGGATCAAATCTACCAAAGAATATTTAGCTTATTCCTTAAGATATATGGTTAATACACTCTGTTTGTCATGGCAGGGTCTGCCAGGGCGAGATGGCGGACCTCCTGGACCTCCAGGACCTCCCGGCCCTCCAGGACAGATCAGCTACCACACAACGAGCGACGTGAGTCAGAGATCAAACCGTTAACATCGAGAGATTTAAGTTTAACCCTCACACGACTGCCTGCCTTTTAATCACTTACTCAGATTCACTAACAGTCACCGCCTGCTAAGTTGTTTGTTCACCTCCGCACTAACTGACATAACTTTGTCTTGCTATAGTATAATGACCCATATTGGAACGAAGGGTGGCAGGTGAGTCGTCCCCTAACTGACCTCTCCATGATTCTTACTAAACTTAAATTATATTAACATGGTTACACAATATTTGTTCTTTTCCTTCATGTGTTTTTCTCTCTTCTTCAGGGAGGAAGTAGTGTTCAGGGTCGAGCAGGATTCCCGGTATGTATCACCGTCGTTATCACACAGCTCAGTTTGGAGTCCGATTGATATGATGGAAGGAAGTTATTGTGTGATATGTTTGCATTTAGGGGCCCATGGGACCAAAAGGAGACAAAGGAGACTCAGGTCCTCCAGGGTATGCACCAAAGGTAAGATAATCCACATTTTGATTCATTATTTTAGCCTTTTTTACACTGTAAGTTATATTTGTTCTGTCATTGAGATGTATTGAATGAAGGAAAATTGTATTTGAAGAAAACTCTGTATATTCATATGGCTACAGGAATATATTATTATTATTAGTATTATTGAAATTAATTAATTTAATATATTGTTATCTTGAGATATAAGTACTTTTTCCCCGTTTCAACTAAATGGTCTTGCAAATATCATATGATTTCCACAGGTTGGAGGATCAAAAGGAATAAATTGCGTCTTTCTGTTTATCTTACATATAAATATGTTTTTGTCAGTTAAAGCTGCAATTTTACGAAATAGAAGAATTTTTTTTGGTGGAATATTATCGGATGTTTTATGTGCATTTTGCTTGTAATATCTTGTCTTACAAAATAAATGCAGCAGCAATACTGTACAATCTGTTATATAAAGAAACTTTCTGTTATCGCGAGATAACAATGCAATAAAATCTTAATCATTGACACAAACTTTAACCTGTTGTTTTGTTCAGGGAGAGAAAGGAGAACCTGGCCTTATCATCGGGCCTGATGGGAGACCTCAGTACATTGGTGGGCTTGCAGGAAAGCCGGTAAAGTCCTTTATAAAAGATTAGATAACAAACTTTTAGGATGCATTCACCAATTTTTGTATCACAACTAAAATAACATAGCATGCTTGTGCTTGCTGCAGGAGTTTTAGCATCTGTCGATTGTAAATAACCCAAAATAAGTGATTAATTATGTAATATGTGAGCGTTTACAGCGAGTGTATTACTTTACAGGGCGAGAGCGGACCCCCTGGCCCTGTGGGACCTCCAGTGCGTACATTATTTTTATTTCAGTGTTTTGCTGATGTTACGTAAGCTAACAGCATCACGTTATTATAATAAACCGGTCTGAATACTGTTATTTTCAGGGTCCACATGGTCCCTCAGGCCAGAAGGGAGACATTGGGATTCCAGGTAGACCGGTGAGTAGATTTCTTGCGATCATCAAATGACATTTTCATATCAATTGAATTAAAAATGGTAGTCAATTCTACCACTAAGAGTCCCCAAAGGTTTTAATTTATACACACAGCTTTAAGGCTTTAAATGCGTTAATATTTTATGTGTAATGAATGAAATATGATTCTGAATGCTTTGTTTATTGTAGGGTCGACCTGGGCTGAACGGCGCCAGAGGAGAGAAGGGAGATTCAGGCAGTGGATCTGGATACGGTTACCCGGTGAGTACCACTGGTTTTTGTCCCGTTTCCTTCTGAACTTGTGCAGCTTTTTATGATCAGGCCATCAACACATAGTAATCAATATTTGTTGTTTGCCAGGGTCCTCCAGGTCCACCGGGCCCCCCTGGACCTCCTGGACCTTCTGTTCCCAGCGACAGATTCAGAGTGAGTCAAGACATGAAACATTTTATTTTCTGCCTATTTACTGAATTAAAACTTGCCCGTATATTAAAAGTAATAAGATATAAAACAGCTCAAAAGTGTGGATAATAAATGTTTTAAATGCAATGTGAATTTACTTATGAATCATATTGATCTTCATTTTTATTTCAGGGGTATGATGATTACTCCAGGCATTACCCAGGTAAATTCACTTCATATTTCAAGTGCGATGATTGACAGAAAAGTTTGATATTTTGAACTATTTGGCTTTCTTACCAAGAGTTAGGTGTGATGATCGATACCACTCTCATGTCGTACTTCAATATAAGAAGCTACAGCCAGAGAGACAGGCTAGCTGTTTCCCCTGTTTCCAGCCTTTATGCTAAGCTGCTGGCTCCAGCAACAGAGCGCACAAATATGAGAGTGATGTTCTCATTTAACTATTAAAAAGAAAGAGAATACACATATGTCCAAAGATGTCAGACCAATTCTTTAAAGATGAGACTGCTGGTGTTTAACCAAGCTCGTTGTTCCTCGTGTTTCTAGCTCTTAAAGGAGAGAAAGGTGATCGTGGACCACCAGGGACTCTTGAAATTCCAGGTAGCACCACTTCGTCAGTGCACATATAAGCTTAAAAGTTAAATAAATGTTTTTTATTTTCAGTATGTAGATAAATAAATAAAGCATTTTGTTTCTGATGCAGGTTTCGGGTCATCCGTTGACATTTACACTTTAAGGGTAAGTCTCAACTCAACAGTTAGAACTTTATGGTTAAACTATCAGTAAGATTTTTTGTTTATACTGTTTATATTTGTTGGATGTTTACATGTCCAGAATGAGTTGAAAGGTGAAACGGGCAATCCGGGCTTCAAAGGAGAGAAAGGAGAACCAGGCGGAGGATATTATGACCCCCGCTATGGAGGGAGCGGAGTCGGACCCCCAGGAGAGCGTGGACCTCCTGTAAGATCACACTGTCACACACATAAAGCTTTACAGTTTATATTACAAAAACATCTAAATATAAATACATTTCTGTCCTTGTACCCTCAGGGCCCAAAAGGCGACTCCATCAGTGGCCCACCAGGCCCCCAGGGGCCACCTGGTCAGCCAGGAAGAGGCTATGATGGGCAACCTGGACCACCAGGTCCACCTGGACCTCCAGGACCATCCTTACCTGGAGCTTACAGGGGCACACAGAGTAAGTAATAATCACACGCCTAAATATTCAAAATGAAGTAATTTGAGCTCATGTGACCCCCCTTTCAATGACAGCTATCAATATTCCTGGACCACCTGGACCACCTGGAGTGCCTGGACTACCTGGACACTCCTCAGGGGTGAGATAACTTATTCTGCTTTATTTCCTTATTATCTAACAATAAATCAGGAAATAAAAATATCACTTCCTGTCTAGATAAGATTAAAAAGATTAAAAGGTCACAATACACACTGTAGCTCTATAAAGACTGTGTGTTAAAGGGTTTATACAGCATTACTGGACTTAATAAATGACTCTTAGCCCAATAAACAACATGGCTGCAATTAAGTTATTAATCTCAGGAAGCAGACGACTGATTACAAAGTACAAGGTCATTTACACAAGGTTGCACAACAAAAAGAAAGTTGTAGTCCTGCCACGATAAACACACAGAACATAGCAGATAATTAGGTTAGGATAACATAAAATATAAATATATAATAAAACATTTTGTCCAAATGATGTCGAGATAAATGTGTTTTTTGTGTTTGTAGGTAACAGTGTTGAGGTCTTATGATACCATGACAGCGACTGCTAGAAGACAACCCGAGGGCTCTCTGGTGTACATTATAGACCAAACAGATCTCTACTTACGGGTCCGAGATGGAGTTCGTCAAGTCCAAGTAAAACATGCACCTTTTTTATGATCATAAATCAGCAGGAGATACATAAAAATACTTTGATTTCTCAGTTTTTGTATATTTATGCAGTTGCTTCCTTTGTATTTTCAGCTCGGGAGCTACATTGCTCTGCCCAGTGTGGATGTGAGTGCAGTTCCTCTTTTTTCTCATCTTCAGAACATATAAGCATCCTGTTTTTAATACAAATCATACATATTATTTTCAGGATAATGAGGTTGCAGCTGTGGAGCCCCCACCAGTCATCCCCTACTCCCCAGACCACCACTCCAACACAGACACCTCCGCACATGACTCCCAGAGGCCACCTGAGAGTCCGGTCCACCCAGACTCTGGGCCTCAGTCGCAGCCACACCACCCGGATCCTTATTACCCATCAAACCCTGATCCCAGATACCCAACACACACTGATCCCAGATACCCAACCCAGCCGGATCCCAGATACCCGTCCCACACTGATCCCAGATACCCAACCCAGCCAGATCCCAGATACCCATCCCAACCGGATCCCCGATACCAACCTGACACCCGGCATCAGCCGGATCCGCGGTACCCAGCACCCACAGATCCAAGGTATCCAAGTTATTCAGACCGGTTGAATCAACCAGACGGTAGGTATTCTGTCCATACAGCCCAGGAACGCCCCACGTACCCAGAAACTCGCTACGCAGTCACTCCTCAGCGAAGACCACCTCCTCCTTTGCCGGAGTCTCCAGTCCACCATCATACTACAGGTCCAGCGGTACGAGAGGCAATCTTTAAACCGCCAGACTCACATCTCTGTTCTGAGTCTTATTGTTAAATTAAATATTACTGCTGGGCATGTTTCCGCAGCTCCACCTGATCGCCCTGAACAGCCCTCAGACTGGCTCCATGCAGGGCGTCCGCGGTGCAGACTACAAGTGTTTTACTCAGGCTCAGGCCATCGGGATGAAGGGAACTTTCCGGGCATTCCTGTCCGCCAAACTCCAGGATCTCCACAGCATAGTCCGCAAGGCTGACAGGGACCGTGTGCCAATAGTCAACCTGAAGGTAGCCAACAGATGTTTTTCAACCGTTTAAAGGAAATAGTTTGACGTCTGATGTCTGTACGGTAAATATGAGGCTGCAACTAGCAGCCAGATAGCTTAGATAAAGATAAAAGATAAAATAAAATAAAATTAGATAATCCTTTAATAATCCCACAATTTTCAGTGTTAAGCTGAAGAGTTAAGGTATCTTTCTAGCTTTTTTTGTGTTATCCTTGACATTTTTAATGAATATTTATTTGCCACAGTGTTATACAGTGTTACATATAAAATGTAAAAGCACCAAAGGAGATGTAGACAAGACATCAACAGAGGTCAATTTATTGCACATAATCTGCGTAGAAACTACATCCGGCCTTGAAATAGTGTGAATAGTTAAATCACATAAACCCTGATAAAACCACAACAAAGAAGCAAGAACAAAAACTTATTCTGAATAAATGGTGAAGGGATCGTTTATTAATTTAATAATTCAAGGAAACGAACAGGAAAAATCTGGGCACTTAAAGGTAGCTAATATAAATAAACAGGAAAAACACACAAACAACAACAAAATGGGAACTTAGATTTTTAGCTTAGATTCTTGTAGTAATTGTGTCGTCTCATCCATGTCAGGACGAAGTTCTGTTTGACAGCTGGGACGGCATCTTCAACGAGGGCAGAATAAAGGACAACGTGCCGATCTACTCCTTTGATGGCAAAGACGTTTTCAGTGACAGCACATGGTGAGCCAAAACCCATCAACTATACATATATAAACTTTTCTGAATATGCTGCAAAGTGGAGAACCCCCCCCCACAAACACAAGCATCATCTATCCCTGCTACCCTTTTTCTGTTTCATCCCAGGCCAGAGAAGATGATATGGCACGGGTCAACCAGCGGCGGGCAGCGGCATGTGGACAGCTTCTGCGAGACGTGGCGAGTGGGCGAGCGGACGCTGACCGGCATGGCGTCGTCACTGCAGAGCGGCAATCTGCTCCAGCAGAGCTCCAGCAGCTGCTCCAGCTCCTACGTCGTGCTGTGCATCGAGAACAGCTACATCAGCCACTCCAAGAGATAGACACAAACACACAACACTGGACGAAGCCATGCTTTTGTCCACACACACTTTTCTATCTGTGCACTGTATGTGGTGCTTTGTAAATAGGTTTTTTTCTTATGAATAATTAGTTTATGTTTGATTCAGGACTATTCCACACGTTGAACCTAAGTTAAGCTCAGGTGACATACAGTAACAGTGGCCTTAAAAGCTGACTGTGCTTCCAAAAGCTTTGTTGTCTGTGAACTTAAATGCTGTGTGTGACTCGTCTGCTAGCGGTCGCTATAATGTTGATATAAATATTGAAATTAGTATGCTTGGTGCTTGCTAGTAAAACCCAGTTTTTATTGATGAGACGTCTGTCCCTGAGATTTCAAACATAATCGAGGTGAAATGATTTGATTCTATTTCCTGGTTGCTCTGGATAATAGACCTTTTTCACAGCAGCCATTTTGACGTGAAATAGTAGGGTAAACATAGTGATACTAATTTAGGTTTTGGTCCATTTAGTGTAGCAGAAATATATGGTTTGACTGTGACTGTAATACAGTGTTAATGCACGAGAGGCAAATTGGGGCTAATTCTAGAAACACATGTTCCACTTATATAATTCTTCGATCATATGACCTCTATCATTTTGTGCTGGGAGGAAAGTGAATATCTCTGGCAAGATTTGTCACACAGCAGCTCAGAAAAATAAAACATGTCCATATGTCCAGACTAGAGAAACTAAACTGATCTCAGAGAGGGATATACCACTGTAATCACATGTAGAAATGATGTCTGTGGAGAGAGTGATGGACTTCCGTTTAACCAAGCACCTAAAAAGCAGTGTTAATAATGAAAACTATATTTCCTTTGGCTTTAAATATCACATTTAACTTTATATACAGTATTTGTCAGCGCTGGAGTTAAACAAATAAGTAATTGACCCTTCCTAAGTCCCGCCCTTTTCAAAACCTCGGTCAACTTTCTCCTTCCCTGTGCGAAGATATGCTGTGTGCTAGCCTCGTCTATGTTGAAAATCTTATGCTAACTTAAGATGTGACTATATATATATATATGTCACTTTTATCTTTTAACCATTCTCCAAATGTGGTTGTCTTTTAACATAGATTCATTGCTCAACTGTTATTGGAGGAAAGAGCGAAAAGGGGTGGGACTTAGGAAAGGTCAATTGTCAGTTAAAGCTTTTTATCTGTTTAAATGGTGCCTTTAAAAACACATTTCAACCTCCAAAAGCAATATAAACATGAGTTATTGTGTATGAAAGTTATGTTTTTTTAATTTCCTTTCTTTTACACTGATGTTATCTGTAACCCATAGCACTTGAGTTATAGCCTTTTTAATAATTTTGCAACTGTCTTGCACGGGAAGATATTTTCAAATAGTATTTTTAGCAATAACAAAGGGATATTTATTTTTTATAAACCGTGCATTTTCTAGTTAAACGATAATGTGTGATGTGAATGCTTTCACAAAAGAATAATTACATTTACAAATACATTCAGCAAACTTGCAAACCCTACACTGATATAAAATTTGTGCGAATAGTAAGCAAAACAATTGATGTACGAATAAATAAACAGGATTCAGCCATAAATCTTTATTAGTGCATTGTTGCTTTTTTATTTGTTTTTGCTTTTTTTTCAAGAACAGTGAATGCACTGCAGTTTTAGTCTAAAGTGGAGAATAGAGTGACATTCAAATGTACTAACAGTGCCATAACAAATGCAGTAAGATTACAGGTTGTCATATGCTTTTTTTTTCTCCTTGTGTGAGCAACATTATGAAATGCTGCATTTCAATGAATAAACCTGTGTGGAAATTGTGAGTGACGTTCTCAGGTGATGTTGTCGTGTCTGTTTATCGAGTAAATTAAGTTTGAAATTTAATGCAATTGTAGACAGTTGGTTACGCAAAGCAGAATAGTTGTTTATGATTTATGATCTGTAACTGAAGGTTTTTGACTGAGACTGTAGTTTCTCCTACACAGTTGTAAGACTGAGCAGTGTTCAGATGCCACTAAATCCTACACACTGCTCCTTTAAAGTTCATTTTAAAGAATTGTGGTCAGTGAGTGTTTTTACAGATTTTGCCAAAAATAGACATATTTAATATTATGTATTATGTATGATGTGAACTCTGCAGAAAAAATTGTAACTTCAGGTGTTCAGATCACAACTAACTGAATACCCCTCACCTTCCAAGCGTGTAGGAGCGTCCACAAAAGGCCCCTATCTAGAGCCAGTGCGACCCGCAGCGTCTGTAGCTTAAAACAGCTCATTCTAAGGTGACGAAAACATAACTATTCTTATCTTAATATTATATTCCATTTCTGCCAATAGATCATCCTAAATGTTGCACACTGGACCTTTAAATACCTGTAATTAAGTAAAATAATGCAATACTAAAATATATAGTAGCATAAAAATAAAACACTCAGGTAAAGTACAAGTACGTCAAGTACAGTATATTTACTTTGTTACACGATTGAAAACAGCAAGTCTATTATTTTAATGTACCTTAATAAAAAAGTAATTTTTTTTATTTTTTATTCTGTCACTGACTGAATGATATCCTCAGGAAGTCACACTGAATATAAAAGTTATGAGTGATGCACATTGTGCTTCCAGCTCAGCTTGTCTCCACAGTCTCTTGTGTGTTTTGTGTTATTTTCCAGCCCGGCTCTCTGATGATCACCTAACTGTTGTTGTCATCAGCCACCTGCCTGAACAGCTGTTGCTCATTTGTACATTTGTGCATGTTGGAGTTGAGTTGTTATGTTGCCTCAGAGCTGAAGATACTGTACATGTGGTACTTGACGGCCTGTCTACTGTTTCCCTGTGTGATCGCCTGCCTGCCTGCACATCTGGTACTGACTGTAAAGAAAGGCCAAGTTCAGGTAAAGTCCAACTCTACCTGCCATTTCCTGTCTGTCTGTGCTTTAGCTCCTGCCAGAAACTAGGACATTGATGTCTGCTCAACGGTAGTTGGTTTAAAACATTTACTGAAGCAGTTTCATGGAATTATCTCATTTAAAGCCCCCTCCAGTCAAAGGTCTGTGTTTGTTCTTGTTCCTACAGTGTGATGTTTGAATGATGCATGTGCAGAGTTTTACTGGTGGAGAAATACTTAACCCTGTATTATTCTATTAGTATTATATGCCTGTTTACTTCACGTCAATGGTAGTTAAAGTGAAAGAGTATGCAAGTTAGTTTGTCATTGGGTGAAAGTTCAAGTTTATCTTCATGACTCACAGCTCCTCCCAACTTCATTTGAATATTTCTTTGCCCTGAGTACTGCCTTCAGGATCCCTCTAAAACTACATACAAAGTGTATCAACTCAAACTTAACATTCATTTGTATATGATTTATTTATTCTAATTCCGTTCAGGACATTTCTCTTCCTAATACCTGAGTGTAATATGAGAAAAACCACAATGATAATAGCCATTGAGTAAACAATGCAAGTGCTGCTTTTTAGACCAGTAACATGTAAGTAAGTAAATCAAATTCATTCTTACATGTAAAGTGGGAGGTGGGGGTCACTTGTGGTTATCACACTGTGAATCCGGGTCTGGTAGGTCGGGGTCAGACCAGGACACACCCTTGCTAGTTGCCTGCAGTGGAAGCTCAGGGCATGTCTTACCTGGCTCTTATTTGGCTGAAGTTAATACACCTGGGCTTTCCCTGCGTGTGTCGCTGGAATTTGTAATCCGTGCGACAGACAGACAGACAGACAGACAGTGATTGTCAGTGGTGTTTTCCGTTTTCAAGCTGGATTTCCTCGTTAATGAAGTTGGAGGAGGTTGGTTTCACTTCGTTGTGACGCAGATATTTTAACGGAGGAAAAGGTCAGTGTCTGACTACTGTTCTTACTGGTTTATTCAGTTTTGTTTTGTTTTATAGCCTGTCAGCATTAAAGGTGTGAATGTCTAAAAACACAATTTATTCCGCTTTAAAACGTTTTAATAACCTCCAATAACGGTACGGTAACGTTGCAGTATTTCAATCTTGAGACACAGCAGCCTGTGTTGGGTTGGGTTGGGAGGGTTACTTTAAAAATGTAATCCGATACAATAAGTAATTATCTGGTACGAAATGCAGTCAGTAACTCAATCCAAGTGTCACAATGTTAACACATCAACATCAACGTCTGTTAAAATTGTAATCACTTTTTACTATGTAATTGCAATCTGATTACATCTTTTTTCTGTAGCTGTAATCGATTACATACAACCTGATTACACAACCCAGTTATATGTTATTACTCTGAGCCTGTGATAGTGGTTGAGGAAATATTCCGGAAAATAAACTCAATTACAAGTTATGTGTTGAAAACTTTACTTAAGTAAAAGTATGTTTGCATGATTGGATATATGCACCGTAATATATTATCATTCGATTATTTAATGTGTAAGAATGCATGATTGTTGTCATTTAAAAATGTTATAATACCATTGTTGCTCGTAGAAAATGTTATGTTGGTGGCTGTTCAGTAAACAACCCCGCCCTTTTGTAGAGCCTGGAAACACCTTGATTTCTGGCTGCAGGTTAGACTGGTTTAAAATCAAATACTACGAGATTCTTTCTCGATGATGACAGTAAAAGATCATATCACTGATACACAGACAGCCAGGACTGACAAATGAATAAACAGCATCTCTCAATGTCTCTTTTACAGATGAAGAAAATACCTGTGATTAGACATGGATGTATAATAATGACAGTATAGTAAATGTTGAATGGATACACAAGCTAGAATTGTTGTCAGTCTGACAAAGCATTCACCATAGCAGCCAACATTTGTGGCTGAAACAGAAATTATAAAACAAGGAAACGTTTGTCCTTTTGCCCTCTTCTTCTGCCACACAGCAGTCTGAGTGACACTTGGTGTAAGCTCTACTATGGATGTGGCTGAAGGGATCAGTGAGGGAATCCCCCCCTCCAAAATGACTCCAGTTGGGCAACATGACAGCTCGACCAAAGCTCAGAGGTGAGATGAGGATCTCTAACTGTCCATGACCATCAGAGCTCAGCAGTTGCATCATTTTGCAATAATAAGTAAAAAAGTAATAAAAACTCTGTTTTGGGTTTAAGCCCAGAGCAGCAGCGGGAGAGACCAGCCTCCCCCGTACCCAGCTGTGTGTCCATGAAGAGCAACCACTCACGGGAGGAGCCTCT